TTTTTAAAAGATCTAACCAACTTTATATATAAAGCTCAAACTCAAAAGTTGTAGATCTCAAGTGGTAAAACTTTCTTAAAATAATTGTCGTGCTAGTACAATAAGGTTAGAAATTAGCATGTAAAAATTTTGTACAATCAGACAAGAACACATCTTTAGACACACGTGAGTGATTTTAGCTAAGTGATAGGTCTAAATTTCACGAGAATTTTAGATTAGCCCAATTCATTTCAACTTGAACGCGGTATTTTGATTGACCAGTACAAATATTGATATACTCTTTAAAACAGCTACAGCCAGCTATAACAACAACTAGCTGGAGATTTGTTCTCTTACATCTAGTACACGCCAAACTAAATTAACTAGAGGGGTACACGAGGTAGCTAGCTACTAAGGTTCACGTCGCCATGTTCCGGCCGCCTTTGGCAGTTGTGGGAGCGCGGCAGAGCGGGCAGGTGTCGCGCTCGTGCAGCCATGGCTTGACGCAGGCAGTGTGGAAGCAATGTCTGCACGCGATCAGCACCCTCGCAAATGTCGCCGTCGGCCAGCTCCGACAATCACACTGAACACGTCTGCTCAGCCCACCTGCCCACAGACTGGTACGTGCGCTCCAGCGCAACCGCTGGCGTTAGTGCGGTGGCGGCGCCCGATGGCTGCGCCAACTCTTTGAGGCCACCACCGTGAGGCTCACTACAACATAAAGTTCAATGGAGGCGGGCATTTTTAATTAATGGAGGTGGGTATTGCAACCGCCTCCATCAAAGGTCACCGTTAATGGTGATCTACGGAGGCAGATTGCATTGCCTGTCTCGGTTAATTTATTAACGGAGGCGGGCATCTTGCAAATGCCCGTCTCGTTAATGAATTAGAAAAAATAACCAGAGCCCACGGCGAGCCTGTTTCGAGCCCACCGGGCGAGCCCAATCCCAGGCCTAGAGCTAGATCCACGCCCATGTCGGGCACCCTCCATGCTCCCGTCGCGGCGTCGCCCAGATCTGCCCTTGCTCTAGGGTACCGCCACCGGATCTGCCTCTGATCCACTAGATCTGCCTCTCCTCCACTGGATCTGCAGAAGGGAGAGGGAAGAGTGAGGGAGATGAAGAGGGGAAGAGAGGGAAGAGTGAGGGAGATGGAGAGAGAGGGATTTGTACCTTTGTCGGCGCCGGATCGAGTCTGCTGCACGCGCCCTTGCTTCTCACGCGCCGCTTACCACCATGGCCACTGCGCCACTCACCGCCACCGGGATCTGGCCGCACGCCGCCGGATCAGGCTGCCCGCTGTCGCATACCGCTGCATCAACCTCGATCGGCCTTGATCTGCCCCGATCCACCGTCGGAGCTCATGGATCCTACCTCGATCCGTCTCGATCCACCAGAATCTGCCTTGATCCGCTGCTGAGTCGCGAGACCCCCGGTGCTGGAGAGAGAGGGAGGTCGCGAGGAGGGAAGACAAATGCTACTCGGGAGGTCATGAGAAGAGGGAGGTCTCGAGGAGGGAGAGGGAGGGAGGAGGGGCGCCGCTAGGGCTCGGTCTTGGAGGAGAGGGAGGGGGCGTCGCTCGGGCTCGGTGTTGGAGGAGAGGGAGTCACGACGTGCGAGGGGAAAGGTGCCGCTCGGGCTCGGTCTGAGAAAGAGGAGTGAACGGGAAACCCTAAGCTCTAGTATTTATATCCGAAGATGGTTATTGGGCTTCGCCTGGGCCTGTTGGGCCTCGGCATTTTTGTAGGCGGACATTATAGTCTATCGGCCTCCAGAAATTGTTTTATGGACGCGGACGTCTTATTTTCGGTGACGGTTGCCTTAAGATGACCGCCTCCGTAAATCCATTTTTTGAGGCGGGCATTTTTTGACCGCCTTCATAAATTGATTTTACGAGGCGGGCAAAAGTGACCGCCTCCGTAAATGAAAATGCCCGCCTCCGTTAATCGTTCGGTATTTTCCTAGGTGGTTGAATTTTGTGACCACCTCCGTCAATTAAAGTGCAACGTCATGCAAAATTAATCATGTAGTAGTGTCTGCTGGCGGTGTTCTCTAATACCCTAAACGCTGATCTGCGGTCCTGGGCCATAGGTCCTGCTAGAGCGGCACATGATACGCTCAACAACACCCACATACCTATTTTCTGGCCCGGCGAGAGGCCGGAATCCTGCCCCGGCAGCTGCTGCTGCTGCCAGTTGCCCGCTGAGGGCGGGGCAGCGTGGAGGACCACCAGATGCCGACGTCCTCCTGTGGTGGCCAGTGCAGGCATTGTGTGGCAAAGGACGAGACAGCCATGCGGCAGATTCACATGAGGTTCACGATGATGTACCAACTACAATGTCTATTAAGAATGCAAGTACATCAATTTTTTTTAAAAAAAAAGAATTCAGTGCATCTCTATCTCTATCTCTAAAATCTATCTCTATATCTATAATCTATCTCTATATCTCTACTTTATATATGTACTACTAAAGAGAGGATTGCTTTTTTTTTCTTTTGTTGCTTCTACAAACCTCCATCAAGCACAGATTTTAGAGCTCTTGAATTGATATCTGGTAAAATGCTACGTCCGCAAAACAATGACTGCTACCTGCAAAATAGCACCATTCTAAGAATATATAGTTTGACAAAACATTTCTTTCACTACTACGGATTTCACTTTCAGTAGCACCATTTTCACCGCCGGTTTGTACTTATTCGGCGGTGGTAAAGTTTCACCGCTGGTTCAAAGGCAGGCGGGGCACAATTAGGCGACAAACAACTGGTCGTGGAAATTGTTTTCATCACAGGTCACCATATGATCTGGCGGTGAAAATTGTTTTCACTGCCCCCCAGTTGCCATATGATCTGGTGGTGAAAATGGTTGTGGTCATCGGATCAAATGCCGATCCAGCGCTGAAAACAATTTTCCAAAGTTGACTGATTTAGAGACATATCTGCTTTAAGAACAGCTTGTTGGTTTCATTATCGACCACGTCTTGAATCCAAATGGAGACTATTGCATTATCTTTTTTCAAGAATTACACAGTATAACACAGACTCTCACAAAGCACGCACACTCACCCCTACAAACGCACACATGCAAACCCTACCCCTATGAGCTTCTTCGAAGACTGGGTCAGCAAATCCTCGAGATTGACGAAGTCACCACATGCGCCTTGATGTCGACGGGAACGTCGCCTACCACTGAAAGCACATAGCCATTAAATCCTTGAAAATTCGCTCCCACGGGGAGTCGAACTCAGGACCTGAGGTGCTACTGAGGTTCTTGTAACCACTAGACTACAGGCCCTTTCGCGACCATTGCATTATCTAATTAGGTTGCAACTCTAATTCATCTTGTTCACCCGACAATCGCATGTTATACATATTTGTGTGTTAGCTTGGACTAGTGTTCAAATTTATATCTCGTGTTCTTGTGAAAACACTGTGGTCGGATTTAATGTATGGACTCATGACTTGAACCAGATGTATATTTTGATGCATTGTGTAGGTCCTAGACTTGATGTTATATTTAAAATAGTTTTCTAAGAATGTATTATTACCACCAGCACTTGACAAACCATTGGTCATTTGGTAGAACATGCGGTGATGATCAAGATATCACTGCTGAATAAAATGGTGCACGAGCGGTCATGAGCTCTTCATCATGGCTAGATCAAACGAGGTGATGAGCTCTTCATCACCATCGGATCGTATATCTCAATGGCGGTAAAATCACTTCATCACCTCCTAAACAAACCTTATGCCAGAGGTTATGAGCTCTTTGTCACTGCCTGATCATATTCCTGACCAATGGTTATGTCCAACTTCATCACCCCACTGGATCGTATGCCAGATAGGTGATAATGTCCGGTTCATCACTACTGGATTGAATGCTGGACCGGTGGTGATGGAAATGACATCACTATGTTGATGAAGTTTATCACAGCTAGTTCCGAACCGGCAGTGATAAGTTTTGTTAGCACTGGCCACTTTTACAAACGTCGGCGAAAACATGAAGATGGGTTATGAATCGGTCGTGATGAAGTTTGTGTAGTAGTGTTTAGACAAAGCAGGGTATGTTTATATTCAATACAACTAGTTCTAATTAGTTTTGAAGACATCAGAATTTAATGTTTTGTGGCATTGAATTCTAAGACATCAAACATTGTTGACATATTATTAGGCGTGTGTGCAAGAACCTACCCAAGTGATCAACACTGACTCAACATAGATGCTCACATTTCTTTTCCAAGATTTATCCCAAAAAGGTTACATAACACGTTGTGGTGCGTTCAGTGCTCAGCATGTGCTTTGTGTGGTGTATGGACATATCCAACATTTTACTTTAAGAAAACCGACCGTTTAGCTGTCTTATGATGGATTTTTGTTGGAAAAAGATTTGTTACATTTTTAACCGTTGGATATGAAATTTAGGGTCCAAATCTCCTACTCCAACCCCACCTTTTTCCTTTTTCTTCCAGTAGCCACAGAACCACCCAATCCACTATTGCCACTTCTTTCTCCATTCGTTGCGCAGCCCAGCCTCCCCTGCCTCCAGCTTCGGCAGCGCCAAGACGCTAAATCCCCTACCCCGCAACCACTCCCAAGCAAATCCGTCGACACATAGTATTATATAATCAGAAAAGTTACTTCGCGAAAGGTCGCGAGACGTTGTGACCGTACGACTCCCTCTCGCGCCTACGGCCCATGTGAGCCCTCCTCACCGACGCGGCTCCTCGCTCCCTCCCTCCCCTCCAGCGGCGGCGGCGGCGGTGCCAGCAAGGTAGGTCGGGTCCTCCTCCTCCTCCTCCTACTCCTCCTAGACCAGATTGAGCACCGGAGATAAAGACGATGGCGGCGGTGTCTAGGGTTCTAGCAAGAAGGAGGTCGCCGAGAGGGAGAAGAAGCCAACTCCCGCGGGCTATAGAAGGGCCCGGCTAGGGGTGGCAAGCAGGTCAGGCGGTGGGGAAGGAGATCGGGTGGTTTAGGAGGCCTGGTGGTGGCAGCGGTGGCCGATCGAGGGAGGGGCGGGGCACCATGGCGGAGCTCGAGCTCGCCATCACCTGTGAACATGGCCATGCTGGTGACGCTCCGGCGAGGGGAGAGGCGAACAAGGCGGCCGCGCTGTGGCGGAAAGGTTTGCTGGAGCTAGTGCCTGCGGGCGGGCGGTGGCTGGTGGTGGGGCTAACATGACGGCGAGGGGCACCGGGAGGGAGAAGGGGGCGGTGGAGGTGGCCTGTCGCGAGGTAGACGACGGGTCACACGAACGTGACCCATGACGTGTTAACGTGCTCCTTATAGAATATACTCCTATCTGCCATCTACCTTTATCTACGTTTTTTATACCATTTCTGCTCCCTAAGGAGACCACGATGCCGGTTGCTATACCGGGTACTGCATATAGTACCACTGTTAACCATATACTGTATCAAATACCGTGTAGTAATGTATACATTGCTTTTCTCTTATTTTCCTCTTTTCCTGCTAGACTACAAATCTGTTTTTTCGCTCCCGTGCGAAGTGTGGGGTTACCTGTTATATGGATGAATTCAGAGAAAAAATTATGTGACAACGTCTCGCATACTGCCTTGCATGCGACACAATGTGCTTGTTTGACGCATATCCCAAGGCCCACCGGTCAAAACGATAATCAACCCCGCGTGGCCTGAGCCGATACTGCCTTAGTGCCTTGCATACCTTGCAGGACGTGTGTCACGCGATTAGATGGTGTGGCAGCTATGGTGTCACATAGAAATTTTTCTGATGAGTCCTCTACTCTCTGCCCTGGGAAGGTTCGTAGCCGTCAGATCGGGCACGGACAGCTCGTGATTGGGAGGGGTTTATTTTGCCCTCCGTCTCCTGTTTGGCGCACTAGGTGGGGAATGTGGAATGGGTAACATTATATCGCATTGCTTCGTTCGGTTCTGTTCCTCCCTTCTATTCTATATAATAAAATAAAAAAGTATATATAATCCTAGAAAGATTCTTGTTTAGAGTTTCAGAAATGGTATGCTTATACATATATCTAAACTATGTTCTTGATTTATTGATCAACCTCGCAGTTGCAAGATCATCGTGAACCTCACGTGGCAATCTCAATCTGCCTGGCCGTTTCCTCTGCCTGATCAATTGATGGCCAGAATGCCCTTACTGGCTGCGGCTGCGGCGGGAGGACGCCGGCGTCTCGTCGATCTGTGCGCAACGGCTCCCACGGCGTTCAACTGGCAGGAGCCGCTGGGACAGAACGGCATCCCACCATGGTCATCATTGCCAAGTGAGACAAAAAACCAGGTGTTGTTCGGCGCCTCCTTCTTGGCGTTCCTATTGGTTTGCTTGGGTGTCTGCTGCCTCTTCTGCCGCAAGGACAAGGACGACGAGCAGGATACCAGCTGGTTTGTTCTTGGACTGTGGAGCAACAGCGACGACGGTGAAGCTGTCAGCGCTCCACCGCCGCCACTGCAGGAGCAGCAACCGCTGCCCGCAAGCGGTGATGGCAGTGCACCGCAGAGCAACAGCGGCCAAGATGACAGACCTCCGCGGCGGCGGTGGCGGCAGCAGCCGCCAGCCGTGGCAGAGGTGCCCGCGGCCGACGTGGAGGTAGCGCTGGGCGAGGTGCAGTTGACGCAGGCCGGCGTGGAGTGGATGCTGGAAAACATGGAGTTGCTGGCGCCGGCGGCGGACGTGGACATGGCGCCAGCGGCTGACGTGGAGATTGCGCCAGCACCGGAGCCGGCGCCAACGCTCAAGTGCACGTTCAGTACGGCGGAGGGGTGGACCGAGGGGACGTGCTCCGTGTGCCTGTCGGAGCTGGTCGACGGCGAGAAGGTGAGGGTGCTGACAGCGTGCATGCACTACTTCCACGCCACCTGCATAGAGACGTCGCTGCGCGGGAACGCCACCTGCCCACTCTGCCGCGCCCGGCAGACCCAAACCTGGGCCTAGCCTAGCTAGGAATCAGGTGGTTTGGACTTCGGACGAATTCCAGTCTCTCCTACTATGTGTTTTTGTCTCTCGCCAAGATGGAGCGACAAATCTGTATGTACTTTGGTTAAGATTATACCCGTGCGACTGAGATTTTAATAATTCGACAGTGCTATCTATTATCTAATTGTGCCATTGTGTGATGTGCATCGAAGATGAGGACGAAACCTTCGAACATCTGTTTCCATGGTGTGTCGGTGTGATTTTGCAAAATGCTGTTGGAACCTGATTGGTCTTGGCTATGCACGTGACTGTTCTTTGCAGGCTGCTATTAAATTATTCAAGACTCAACTTGGCTCCCCTTTCTTTGTGAATGCCCATCATCATCGTGCCATGGGGAATGCTGCAAAGTTCTCTCACTACTGGAAAATGGAACTCCCCTGTCAGTATGGCCTCTACCAACAGAAAAATTATGTATTATCCTGTGTCGTGTGGACGACAACCTATAAAAAAATGGGTTAAGTCCAATTTACACCCTCCAACTTGCAGCAAAGTTTGGATTTCAACCTCGAACTTCAAAACCGGACAACTTTGGCCCTCCAACTCTCGAAAAAGTTCAACCTGCAACCTTCTGGCGGTTTTGCGGGTGAACAGTAACTTTTGATATTTTCGGGAGCGCCAAAATTTTATATTATTTTTTAGAGCATCTTAACGTCCTAAAATGAAAAAACTCAAAACTACAAAGTTGTAGATCTCATCCAGGTCTACAATTTACATATAAAAATTATCTTTATCCGACATCGTATTGAAGGGTTTTCTATTTTTTGAAATTTGAGTCTCATCACGAAAATAAAATAAAATTTCAGAAACCATATATTATTTTTTCGATGCATCTTACTGTCCTCAAATGAAACAACTCAAAACTACAAAGTTGATGAATCTCATAGAGTTCTACAATTTATATATAAAATTATCTTCATCCAACATCGTATTGAAGTTTTGAGACAAAATTGTTTCATTTGCGTGATGAGAACGTTAAGATGCTCGAAAAAATAATATAAAATTTCGGCGCTCCTGAAAATATCAAAAGTTACTGTTTACCCGCAAAACCGCCCACAAAGGTTGAAAGTTGAACTTTTTCGAGAGTTGGAGGGCCAAAGTTGTCCGGTTTTGAAGTTCGAGGTTGAAATCCGAACTTTGCTGCAAGTTGGAGGGTGTAAATTGGACTTAACCCTAAAAAAACTATACAACCATTGAAAGAAGGGCTACATACCGATAGAGAAATTGCATTTCTCTGATGGTATAAGTAATACACAGAGTGAAATTGACTTATTATCAGTTAGTGATATGATTTCTTTGCTGGGTTTTATGTGACACATAGGAAAACTACATAAAAAATTTCAACCCACAAAAATCTCATGCGGGCCAAAATAGAATCCCAAAAGAGCACCTGTGCGGTCTCCTCCACGGTCTCTCGATCTTATCATCGTTTTTTGAGCAAACAAGATCATAGATCGTTACCCCTTGATACGCAACAAAACGGAACAAGAGTTGGAGCAGTCCATTCTAACGTAGTGCACATTGATGTATTGGAAGTAGGCTTATGTCCCTACACCCTGGCACAAGGAAAACATGTGCAATGCGTTCGTCACCCAATAGGTGTGACAGCAACAGTGACAATGTGTCTAAAGTATCCATACGTGCTGGGAAGGAACATCGTGCACCGGTTTACTAGCACCGGGCGTGTGACTGAGAGGGAGACAGGGGGCGGCACAGTTCGTGCCATTGGCTTTAGGGAAAATGCTAGTATAATTTGACAAGCAATTTTGTGAAAAACACTATGTAGCCGAGAAGAGGAGGTGCTGTACCTCGTGTATTGAGCAAACTTTACAACTTATCACAGGTTAAATATGTACTATGTAGTAAAGTTTAATATGGTGTTCTAACTGTGATTTTTGCATTCACTGCTATTATAGAAATGATTTTTGTTAATGGCATTTTCACCATCCGTTTTATGAAAACCGTTGTGAAAATTGTCCCCGCCGCCTAGTGGAAATGTTAAGAACCGGTCGGAAAACCTCTCGCCTTGAAATTTAAACTCGCCGTATTTAATAAAGTCTGCTCACGGCGAAACCTATCTCTCTCGGTAGCCTTATGCTCCCCTTTCTCTCCTGAGATCTTAGTCTTCTCCTCACTTCCCCCACTCTTAGGGTTTCTCCTCCAAATGCATAGAGCACCTCCCAGTGCAAAGCAGCAGCACCCATGGTGCACTACTATAGAAAGTCTATTCACCGCCTGGACCTTCACCAACGGTTTTGAGATAACCGGCGGTGATACGTATCACTGCCGGCTCATGACCCATGGGCCCCTTCCTGGCCGAATAACCGGCGGTGATGCATGCACGCTTTCACCGCCAGCTCGGTGTATGATCCGGCTGTGAACAGGATCTCGCCCTTCGCCGCCATGTCGTCCACCGGTCCAACGGTAGAAGGGTTTTCACCGCCGGCTCCTCGTCCTATGTCCGCTGCCCGATGAACCCGTCAGAGATAACATTTTTTTTACCGCCGGTGTCATGATGGACATGTGTGCTACAGTAAGATCCGGCGGTGATCAGGTTATCACCGTCGGATTACCGTATGAACCAGCGGTGAACAACCATTGTTTGAACGGGCGCGTGGTGATCCAAAGTCAACGTCAGTGCGTTACGGAAGTGTTACAACCGCCTGGACGTTCATACGGTGATGGTTGATGCTCGAAATCTGTGCCGTCCATTAGTGCATATTGAATCTGGACCCTTGATCTGGACTGAAGCCCTAATAAGGCTGGCCGGCCACTGCCACCTCCCGCACAGCCGACGCATTATTCCTATATCTCGCTATTTGAGTGCATACCTCGCGTCGCGCCGCCGCCAGATCCAAAGGCAAGGTATGCTTTCGCACTTCAATGATGGATCTTTGTCGGATTATTTTCCTCTTTAAGCCTTGTTTGGATGTTGTCAGATTCATCTCAATCCACATGTGTTGAGGTGGATTGCTGTAAAATTTAGCTCAAGATCCACTTCAATCCACACCAACACATGTGAATTGATCCAAACAAGATCACAAGATCTTAGTGATCTCATTTGTAAGGAAGCTCTCATCTTACTGCACACTGACGATTGCAGGCTCTACGAAATGGAGGAGGCCCCAAGCAAGAGGAACACACTGGCTAGCCTCACAGACGATGTCGTTCTCGAGATCCTTCGCCTCCTCCCCACCCGGTCCTTGCTCTACTGCAAATGTTCTGTCGCTCCTAGAACAGCCTCATATCCCACAACCATAAGGTGCTGCCCCAGACTGTGGCCGGCTTCGTCTACGATGGAGAGAATGGCATGCGAAAGTTCACCAGCTTCACCATTGAACGCCCCGACTTGTCCTTCTTGCCCTTCCCCAGGGACAATGTAGCTGTCTTAGATTGCTGCAATGGGGTTGTCCTATGCTCGTGCGTTGAGGCAGCTAGTGCTGGATCCCGCTATGTCGTCTGCAATCCGGCAACCAAGAATTTGCGGCTACTAGCATCTAGCATCCGTGTTGTTGATCAGGCTCGATTGGGGTTCGATCTGACAGCCTCCTCACACTTCCATATGATTGAATTTGTGGAGCATAATGATGCTGGGTGCCGAGGTGTGGAGATCTACTCATCTGAAACTGCAGAATGGACCTATAAGGAATCTGAATGGGGCTAGAACATTGATGATGTGATACGTTCAAGATCAGCAAATGTGTTTCTTAATGGTTTTCTACACATTATGGGGTACTCTGTGATACTTGCAGTGGATATGGAGGAAAAGACATGGAGGAAAATTCCTAGGCCTCATGGTACTCTATCCTCCATCCATCAAGCTTAGGGTCACTTGTGTGTATGTACTGATGGTAGCGTTGGTGGTCACAATATGTACCAGCTTTCAATCTGGATCCTTGAAGAATATGCTACTAATAAATGGATATTGAAGCATACTATCATCACGTTGAAGGTGTTTGGAAAGACTAATATTCAATTTGGTTACGTGGATTATGAGTCAAACTACACAGCGATTACAGTTCATCCATAATGCAATTTGATTTTCTTTGTTGGGGAGGAAAGAAGATTCATCGCATATGACATGGATCACAGAAAAGTTCATGCCATCCCTGCCCGTGTCTTTCGGTATGGTAGACGTAGCGTCCTCTCAGGATTCACAAGCAGACCTTACTTTCTTCCTTATGTTCCCTTGTTCTTGTTCTTGGAGTCATTAGTAAAGCAATGAATAAAGCTACATTTGATGTATCTCTCTGTCATGCCATGTTCAAATATGGACCAATGTTATTTGATTGTCTATCGACTTGTTAATTTTGTCTAGGATGGATGTTGTCATTATTGCAGCTAAAATAGTGTGCCGTCCTCCTCCTCGATGGCGACTGCTGGTGCCTCCGCCACCTACTCCTCCTCTTCGCTGGCGCTGTGGTGATTCATCGAGTCCCCAGACTTGTCGCTAGACGACTTGCTGGTGTTGTACCTTGCCATTGCTCGTCACCGGCGGTGAGACGGATTTGCTTCTCGGTTATTTAAAGAGTATCGTCCGACCACTCAGTGCACTATGCCACTTGATCTTGGACGTTGGACGCCATCTCGACGGCGTAGCCCAAAACAGCGCTGTTGGGTTCCTAAGGTGACCGACGACAGCGCCGTGCCGGTTGTGGTTCCCGAGGCATCGCCCCAACGCTCCTGTCATTTCACATCGAATCAGAGCGATTTTGAATCGGAGCGGTTTTGTGATGGTTGATGCTCGTTACACTGGCGTATGTTACGGTCTTCTATTTTTTGGTGTTTGGAATCTAAGCCATCCATCATTGTGTATTGAATCCAGGATGTCCGCAAGGAGAATATGACATACGGGGCCCACGCGTCAGCGAGTTGACGGAGAGAGGCAGCAGGGGTGAATTGGTCAGCTCACATCTCCTGCAGGGGGTCCAGGCCTCGCTGCCACGCTGACATACACACAT